GGCTCCGCCCGCGTTCAGATGACCAAAAACCGAATTCTTAGGTGTTACATATTAGTACACTATAGGTTTTACATATTAGTATTTTTGTATTTTTTCTCAAAATTAAGATATTTTCCCGGGGTAAAAAGTATCCTATATGTTGACCCGGATAATCAGCTATAATCATACCAAATTTCATAAAAATCTGTCCAGTAATTTTCTCGTGATGCATTAACAAACGACAGACAGACAGAAAACAACAGACAGACAGAAGTCGAATCTGTACATTAAATATTTTTTGGAAAATCTAATTAAAATGGACATTATTATCGATACAGAGTCCGATTCTATAGTTTTTAGAATTTTTGTCTGTCTGTCTGTTACCGCATCACGAGAAAACCACTGGACAGATTTTGATGAAATTTAGTACGATGATAGCTGGTTATCCGGGACAACATATAGGATAGTTTTTACCGCGGGAAAATATCTCGTTTCTGAGAAAAAATACAAAAACTGTATTGTAAGAGTATACTAATATGTAAAACCTAAGAATTTGGTTTTTGGTCATCTGAACGCGGGCAGAACCACGAGATAACGGTAGTAATAAAATAATTTGAGTAATCATGGTTATGAGGCTACGAAAATCGCCAAAACTTACATATTACATAAAAAAAATACTTTTGGCTATTTCATATATCATTGCCTTTTTGCCGAATAAATAGGCAATAATGTGTCGAAAAAGCAACGATTCCAATGCAAACGGTTTGGAAGCATGCCGTATCTGTTCTCTATCTTAGCTTTCAAACTTTGTAAAGCTATTTTGTAAGCCTTTCCCGTCTCAACCCATTGAGAAACAAAACGTTATCGGGAACATCTAGGATAATTTGGGAAATTACATTTTAGGCATAATTATTTTAATGATTTTATTATTTTTAAAGGCTAATAAAACGTTTTATTATGGTTCTACATTTTTAGAAGAAACGTGTTGTCTAGACGTTTACTTAAGTTTGCGCGTTTTGTTACTGAATTTAGTAGTTGTATACGGCCTATGTATTTTGAACATTCAAGATTTGAACATTCCTTTTTTTTAAAGTCCCACTATTGGGCATGGGCCTCTTATTCCCTCTTTTCTTTTTCTCTCATTAAAAGTTGCAGATAATGCCGTAGTTCACTACGCTGGCTAGGAAAATACGAAAAGCCGTCTTGTTAGTTTTGCACTCAGACTGACGGTGTCAAGTTGTAGTCCACCAGAGTTCGAGAGTTTAAAGAAAAAAGTGTGAAAACTAAATTTTTATGTACATGTACGTACGTATAAGAATCGATTCAGTAACATTGTATTTTTGTAATAAAACTATGACCCACAAATTCTGCATCACTATGATAAAGTCGAAGCTGTAAATTCCTGCATTACTGAGCAAATTGTTGGTAATTCCAACAAGTTACTTCGCCTATAACTTTAGATTATAACATTCCATATTTCCGACCCTTTGTCAGTAGTGATGTTATAGTACAAACGACTCTAAACACTTCTTCAAAATCACTTTAAGTATAATTGTTCTACCCATAAATTTTTCTTCAAATTTATATGAGACTAGCGACTCAACCTCGCTTTGCTCGGTTTCGTCCGTACGTTTTAATTTTTTTCAGCGGAACCCTAATTCTTTTTCTAAAATAAAAGTAGCCTATGTTACTCCCTACAACATCAGCTATCTTCCAGTGAAAGTCCCGTCAAAATCAATCTAGCTGTTTCAGAGATTATCCGGAACAAACATACATACAGACAGACAGACAAAAATAAAAAAAAATAAGTTTTCTTATAAGTACGGTATATAATTTAGTATGCATTTAGTGAAACGCTCTTGTTTTGACATTATAAACAGACACTTCAATTTTACTTATCTGTATAGATTACCCTTCATTCTTAACTACATATTTAAAATTCTTAAAATTAGTGAAGATACAGATAGTAAAATATACAAAAATAAACGATGTAACCTTATCTTTTCGGATTTTTTCGCGGATTTATTTTGGTTTTGGTTTCCGACGTTTCAAATGCTTTTCAGCAATCATGGTCACGGGTCCGAAAAGATAGTTTTATTTAAAATGTCAAATATTCGCGTAAATCTAAGAAAGTATTATTAGAAGCAAAGTAGTCTCACATTTTAAAATATAATGCATTAAGGGTGGAATAATCACCTTTAAAGTGCTTTCGAAGTGGACCCTTTTAGTTTAAAAGTAATTATTTTCAAACCCGCACTGGCTTTATATTACTATTTATAGCATCACTTCTTTTTGTAATTAATTCTCGGTATACATAATATGTCAGTTGATGCAACGCAACGTTGTGTAAAATAATTATATAACGACCCATTCTCAGTATGTTTAGTAAGCTTTTGTCCGATAAACTCAGCGTAAATGGATCTTTCTGTAAATGGATCTTTCTATTAGTAAAATAGTGTTAGATATCTTTTTAATAATAATATATAATCTAGATATAAAAGTCAACATGCTTAAATAACAAAATTCATCTCGTGTGGGATTCGAACCCGCAGCTATCAGTCTTTAAGGGCAGTTATTAAAAGAGTAATGTCGTTTTGGAAATAAATAAATTTATATTCACGAATCAATTAACTAAATGGTCGTATTAGGTCTTAAAATATTTATGCGCTAATGTTTTTCTTGAAAAAAGCGGCTGGAGCGGGATGTGTGCGAGCTGCCCAAGATCGAGATAGTTGGCGTTCTATAAATTGGCGTTTGGAAGTGTGCTTTAATATAAAACAAGTATCCAAAACGAGTATATTATCAAACATAAAATAATTATAAATTAAAAATTTAAAATATGCCCTACGCAAATTAATTGTTCTTTAACGATTACACTGGCACGCGTGAAGTGCTTAATCGAGTAATCTAAAATAATTTTGGAAAAGAGCTGATACTCTTACACTGCTGGACCGATATTAACCAAACATAGCGAAGAACCACCGCAAAGAAATTGGATTTCAAATAAAAAAAACGAGCATCGAAATCGGTCCATCCGTTTGAGAGCTACGATGCCACAGACAGACAGACATCGACGTCAAACTTATAACACCGCTCTTTTTGCGTCGGAGGTTAACAAAATCATTTCAAACCATCTCCCATTTTGCGCAATGCGCATTAATTTAGAGATATATAAATTACACTAATTGAATTATACACATATATCTATAACATAGCATTATTAAATCAATTAAAGGACCGTCCTAACATTGCGGCTAGAATAATAATTATTGTAATGGGCACACTATCGACTCGGGAAGACCTTTAGAATTTTATAAACGTTTTGCCATCAAAGGACGTCTGTAGTGTGTCGATTTCATATATTCTATAGTCCTTTATAAGGAACTCCAAAATAAAATATTCCACATGATTGGTTTTCAAAAAGAAGCGGGTTCAATATTTAACAACGTTAATTATTAACATCTTCTCTTCAAGTTTTACTTATTAGTCTCACTTAACTTACGTACTAACGTCGAACTTTTTCTCTCCTGAAACTTCTGAAATCAATTTTAATCTACTTCTGTCGTATCGATTAGGAACTTTGTAAGTACGAGAAATCTGAACGACATCACAATAAGTTGTTACTATAGATCTGGTTTGATGATGGAGCTAGAATGTGTTATTGGACTAGAGCTTGCTTTTGTTCCATTATTATGTTTTTTTTATGGTATTCAGTGACAAACGAGCAGACAGCCCACCTCATGGAAAGCGGTACCTGTCGCCCATAACACCTACGGTTCATGCACTTAGGTTTTATGTTACAAAAATACAGAATCGCAGGTGCGTTGTCACTGTGAGGACTAAGATGTTATGCCACTTGCCTGTAATTGCGCTGGCTACCTTATCCTTCAAACCGGAACACAACAATATAATCATTGTTGCTTGGAGGGAGAAATAGAAAAGGGGGTGGTACCCATCCAGTCGGACTCCTCAGGCTTGACAAGTCCTACGACCAGTTTATATATTTTAATATAATCTTACTCTAAAGAAGAAATATGAGAACTAAAAGCGGAATCCGCTAAAAACAATTAAGGTCAAAACATTCTTCTTATTATACTTTGTAGGTACCACCCACTTTAACTTTCATTTCTGAACTTTCTTGAAGTTTCTGCTGCAGAATAATACTAGTTTACTCCTATTTTAACTAGCATTATTGCCCTGCGCCTTAGTACTGCTTCTTATAATAAAGTTTATTTCATTTTTCTTGCGCTTTTCAACCCTATATTTAACTCTATAGAAATGTCACTAAATTTCCCGCAGCGACCGTTAACGCCTTTTCAAAGAAAAATTATATGCACGCTGAGTTTCTATTTTCTTTCTAAAATATATTCTTACGTATATTTTGACTTATTTTATAAATAGTAGATGCGAAACAAGTGAATTATCCATGTATATATACAAAAACAAACATAATAAGAGAGATGTATAAAAAATTTATATGTACATAGGTATAATATCTTTTCGGATTTTTTAAAGTGATCACCTCTACCACTAATAGTCCAAGATCCCAGGGCCACCAGACGTCACGTATTTTCTGACGAACGAAATGTGGACGATTGGGTAGTGTACTAAGTGTACTAAGATCGCATGCCTACCTGCCAACTTGGTTAGACGGCCAATTTCCAGGTATTAGGTAATCAAAGTACCTCAAAAGATTACTTACCTCACGTACATTCTCCAAACTGATTTTCACGTATATTTTAGACAATATCGTTAAAAATTAATAGGAAATACGTCAACTGGCAAATTTTTTTAGAAAATAATTGAACTCTATAAATGAGCCGGAGAGTCTCACATAACCATCTGTATATCGACAGGTGGTATGCGTAAATGCATTTCCCAACATAAAAAAAAGTAACCAGCTAAAAATAAAAATCTGATTAAAGAAATTCTTCTCTTAGAAAATCTCTTATCATTTAATATTACTTTTAATGAAAACTGTTGATGTGTTCATTTTAAGGCGTAAATGATTCCCTATTAATATGAACATTGTTCCACGATATTTACTTACGGTGGTAATATCTATATATCTTTTGTTACAGAAAACAACACGCAGTTGGATTGAAAGCACGTTTCAGAAGCGCGATTGTAAATGCTACGTTCCCAGCGCTAAGGATGAGCATGTGTAAGTTAAAGTATTTTTAACCATTCTTATTACTATTGTATTCCGCTGTATAATATCGAAATATTTATTATTAAGTATCGACCTTCGAATAAATTATTTATTCGTAGCTAGCGACCTATGAATTTTTTACGATAGTTTTTTCTTCTTTCACATCGAAACGGAGTGATGGATTGGAGTGATTTTTTGTGTGGTGATTGTTGGAGGACTGGAGAGTGACATAAGCTACTTTTTACCGCGGGAGATTATCTAATTCCCACGGGAATACACGTTATAATATAGCTCAAAAAATTATTTATGATCAGAATAAATTGAAACTTGGTATTAATGGTCTTCAATATAATAATTAAATAAATCCCATCAAAAACATACTGTAAAAAATTGCAAGTCTCGCAATGCATTACTTCTACCGCAAAAAGCTATGAGATATAATGTAAAACCAAGTCGGTTAATTTATTCATTACCTACCTACGGAAGCATCTATCCGACAACTTTGTCATAAATCGTTACCGAATTAGTTAAGTCACAACATTTTATAGTGACCATATTAATATTAGATATATTTATTCTTTTAATTAATAGAATGACTTGACCATCGCACGGAAACATAATCACATAAGAGTCTACTACTTTAAATAGTCCTAATTAAACATACCATGACCAAAGTGGACGGACGACTTGGTCGAAGTCGCTGGAGCCCACTGGATGCGGATGGTTGGAAGACTGGTTGTCATGAAAATTTTTGGGGGAGGCCTATGTCCAGCTGTGGACGTGTTTGGGCTGAGATGAACTGAACATAGCACTAGCGGGTCAAGTTTATGCATACACTAACATAAATAATGCACTCAGAACGCTAACATTAGGTAAATTTTGTTATTTGTAAGTTCTATTATCATGTGCGATGGCCAAGTCATTCTATTAATTAAAGAAATAAATATATCTAATATTAATACGGTCACTATAAAATGTTGTAACTTAACTAATTCGGTAACGATTTATGACAAAGTTGTCGGATAGATGCTTCCATAGGTAGGTAATGAATAAATTAACCGACTTGGTTTTACATTATATCTCATAGCTTTTTGCGGTAGAAGTAATGCATTGCGAGACTTGCAATTTTTTACAGTATGTTTTTGATGGGATCTCATTTCTTTTTGTAAATATTTCTTCTTTTTCTCTTTTCTTGTACTATTTCTTGTGTGTCAGCTAAGGACTTTTTAAAAGCCCACTCCTTGTCTCTGTGGGCTTTTTTCAGAGGCTTTGATATAACAAATTTTGACAAGTCTGGATGAAAAAAAATCTAAGTCTATTGTATTGGGAAATTGCGGATTCCTGGACTTTAATACTACTATCTTATGCATTAAGTATAAATATGTATGGTTAGTTTAACGAATATTTTAATTTCATTGTTGACTCTAAATACCTACCCTGATACTGATATTCAACTTACATAAGTTTAATAAGACGTGTAGGTTTATGTGTCTATCTGCAGCATCGTAGTTAAATCCCGAAATTTGTCTTCTATTCCATTTTAAAAGAAATTTTCGATGAGATTGATATTTTATGACCTCTATATTCCATATTCTATTAGGTGGGTACAGTTACGAGCAATGAGATGTTGACAAGGTTTTCTAATTCATATCAACATCATACTTTGTAAAAGAAAATATACGAGCTTGGTTTCAAAATTAAGTAATAGTCAAGTTGTTTCTCAATTAGATATATATTTTAATCAATTCATTATAAATAACAGTAATCGAATATTAGTAGGTATAAACTACACACGCTTCACATTACATTTATGTACCCATGTGTATATGCATAAAAATTGTAAAGCTACTAAAAAAAGCTTAAAATATTATTTTCGCATTTAAAAAATACTTTTCTAATACATATAGTTGCAAATATAAACATTAATAAATCGACGAATCGAAATTAGGTTAGTGATTACGAGGGAACATAGGATCGGACATACAAACATACATAACAATAGGTTACAAGGTTTACAAACACTAACCTAACCTCCTTTTACAGTGCAACTATTGTATAATTAATTAATTTACTATTAATTATAAATTTTATTAGAATATATGAATGAGGTGAAAAAAATAAAAGTAAGATATCAGGAAATGAAAAATATTATATTTAATTTAAATAATGGAAGGAAAAAATAGTGTAAATTTAATTAAAATATTTTATGATTTTTAAACGAAATTTATATTTGACATTAACGACACAAATTAAAGCAAGCTACGATGAAGTTTATTTATGTCAAAATATTTATATTATGTGCTATTTTATTGTTACCTATTATTTTAAAAAATATCTAAACCTTCTAGCGTTCCTTGATGTCGTTAAGGTGAAGGAATTGGCTAACAAATTAAATACTTAGTGATGGAAAACGGTACCCTGAGAAAGATAATTTTTTTTAGTTGGATATTTAAGTTAATAAAATATTATATGAGTTATTCGTGTGTTTTTTTAACATGACTAAACTAAATATTGATAAATAAATATTGTACCTATGTATTAGTCCAGTAGAAGTCGAACTAACGCTCCGAGGGCTCTGTACTACCACAACAATATTTATTATGGACATTAATTATGTAATATAATTTTACGTCATAATCTACAAGGAGATATTTAAAAAAAAATTAGCGTAGGAATAATAATAGCGTTTTGACTGAACCCCTGAGTAATAATGCATCCTAATCTTGAATTACATATCATCATATAAGATTTTTATGAAAAAACCTAATATAGATAGGTATACAAAAGATATACCACGTCGTATACATATTACATGCATAGTGCTAAATGGCTAAATTTGGTCTTAGATAATTTATTTAATAGTTATATTTATCCTATACAAAATATTCTCGATGACGATACGAATATTTTTTGCAAGTGTTCGTGCTGGTTTTTATTTTACAACGAATTCTCTACATAGAAATGTATGATTTGGTCGATAAGGGTAATCGATCTGGGTTTGATCCTACCTAAACTAACCATTGATTAGTTGTGAGGTTAATGCCGATGGAATGGCCTCTATTCTGTCGTAGAACGATTTGAACGTAGAGACCGGTTGGTGTAGCTCCTGGACATCAGGGACTCTCGGGAGGCTACACATGACTGCTTTTGCTGGTGTTTGCGCATATATATATTTTTTTAAATTGAGATTATACACACAACTGATAGCGGCTTTCGCTACGGTATTGCCCCGAGGTGATAACATACAAAGCGATTCTCATTACGAAAACACCCGAGTCTTCGATTACAGTCTTATATATATTTTTTTATATTGGAGATCTTGTAGCAACCGAGAGCGGCTCTCGCTACGGTCTTGCCCCGAGGTGATAACATACCGAGCGATTCTCATTACGAAAACACCCGAGTCTTCGATTACTTATATATATTTTTTTATATTTGAGACCTTGTAGCAACCGAGAGCGGCTTTCGCTACGGTCTTGCCCCGAGGTGATAACATACCAAGCGATTCTCATTACGAAAACACCCGAGTCTTCGATTACTCATATTTTTTTTTATATTTGAGATCTTGTAGCAACTGAGAGCGGCTCTCGCTACAGTATTGCCCCGAGGTGATAACATACAGAGCGACTCTCGCTACGGAAACACACGAGTGTTGGATTACTTGTATATATTTTTTTATAATTAAGATCATAAATACATATGTTTTAATTTATATATTACTTCTTAAAACTATTTACAATATTGATAATTACATTTTAGTCATCGCTAACACTTACAGTATATCCACTATTTACCCAGCTATTTGGGTAGTTTAAGTGACGAAAAATTATATGTATGAACTGCAAAAATAACTTTGTAATCCCATATATCGCATATCTATTTGTATAGGATTACAAAATTACTTATGCAGTTTGTATATCTCAAAAACAGGATTGAAATTGCGTGATGTTTGAGTTTTTCCTTCTGTTATAGGCTAAACACTAATTGTGTTCAAAATTTGAAGCTTCTATGTCTGCTAGAAGTACCTTAGAATTTTGATGATCGGTGAGTGAGTGAGTGAGTGACGATATTGACGAATTTTGATCTGCAACAGTTCATAAACTACAGGTTCAAATTGAATGTAATTTGGAAATATACCTAGTTTTATGATGTTCTCTTAGTCACTCAAAATTCAGGCTTCTAGCTTTATCCATAACGAAGTTATGGGGGGGTGGAAAATGCTCTGAATCGCTTCGAGAAAAGGATGGTACTGCCGTGCCCTTTTTTTTTGCTCGACTTGGCGGGGGCACTGCCGTGCCCCCCGATAAAAAAAGGGGGTAAAATAGGGGTGGAAACTTTGTATGAAACCTACTTTTTTAGTTTTTTTGTAGTTTTAGCGCGAGCGAAGCCGCAGGTTCTGCTAGTATTATATACCTATATGCATAGGTATGATTAGTTGTTACGGGTTGTATTATACCGTATTTTCCCATTGGAATGAGATAATCTCCCGCGGTAAAAAGTAGCCTATGTCACTCTCCAGCCTTCCAACTATCCAATCTGTCATTTTATAAGCAGGACAAACAAACAAATACACTTTCAAATCTATAATTAACTTTCAAATTTATAATTAATAAATAATATGTAACTATAAATATATGATTTAGTATATATATATATATATATATATATATATATATATATATATATATATATATATATATAATTATATACTACGTAATTTTATTTACGTTTTTGTTTATCTGCAAACATGTATTAAAAGGAAAATTGACGTAATAGATTATACTATGTACCTTCTTGTTAAAAAAAAGTGCTAGTGTGTGCAATTCACACACGGTAGAAATGAAACTTCAGAAAAGTAACCTATGAGAGAATGAGATGAATATAGAGTATCAGGAGTAGGATAATTATGAGGTTTTTTTTTAATAATATTTTTACCAAGTTTATAAGTTATTTTACATTTTATTTGACATAAATATACATTTATCAGACAATAAAAATGGTTGTATGGCAAC